GGTGAATGTGCCAATAAACAAAAAAGGAAAGCTTAGAACAAAAACTATTGATTGTGTCTTTCTCGGTTATGCTATTCACAGCGTGGGTTATAGATTTTTAATAATAAACTCTGGTGTTCCTGATATGGTTGTTGGTACAATTATGTAATCTAGAGATGCAACATTTTTTAGAGTGAATTTCCCATGAAAAATACACCTAGCACTTCTAGTCATGAATCTATTTTTCTTCCTGAGACACATGAATTGATAATACACACTGATGTTGAAACCCATGAAGAAATTTCTGAGGAGGATAATAATGTAGTCACTTGAAAGAGTAAGAGATGGAGGACTGCAAAGTCCTTTGGTGAAGACTATATTATATACCTTGTGAATGACACTCCCAGCTATAGATTAGGCATATTCATCTCTTGATGCTGACTTGTGGAATGAAGTTGTTCAAAGTGAGATGGACTCTATTATGTCTAATGAAATTTGGGAAGTAGTTGATCATCCTTACATATGCAAACCTATGGGGTGTAAATGGGTCTTCAAAAGGAAGTTTAGACCTAACGGTACTATTGAGAAGTACAAGACGAGGCTAGTGGCTTAAGGTTATATACAAAAGGAAGGCGAGGACTATTTTGATACATACTCACCAATTGCCCGTTTGACGACCATACGCGTATTGCTTTTCTTGGCTGCCTCACATGATCTTCTCATTCATTAGATGGACGTTAAGACAACTTTCTTGAATGGAGAGCTTGAGAAAGAGATCTACATGGATCAACCTGATGGATTTATAGCAAAAGGTCAAGAGGGTAAGGTTTGTAAATTATTAAAATCCTTGTATGGCCTAAAACAAGCTTCTAAGTAGTGGCATTAGAAGTTTGACAAAACTTTGACATCAGCCAGCTTTGTTGTGAATGAAGCTGATAAATGTGTCTATTATCGGTATGGTGGGGAGAAAGGTGTAATTTTGTGCTTGTATGTGGATGATATTTTAATCTTTGGAAATAATATTAATGTGAAAGATTTTTTGTCTAGTAATTTTGAAATGAAAGACTTAGGTGAGGCTGATGTTATTCTTAACATAAAGCTACTGAGAGAAAGAAATGGTGGTGTAACACTTGTACAATCTCACTATATGGAAAATGTGCTAAATCGCTTTGGTTATAGTGACTACACGCCTGCTCCAACTCCTTATGACCCAAGTTTGCTATTAAGGAAAAATCATAGAATAGGACGGGACCAATTGAGATATTCTCAAATTGTTGGTTCACTTATGTATTTGGCTAGTGCAACAAGGTCTGATATCTCGTTTGTTGTGAGCAAACTTAGCCGGTTTGTTTTAAATCCGGGAGATAAACTGTGACACGCTCATGAGAGGGTGTTGCGCTATCTGAAAGGAACCATGAGCTATGGCATTCACTATACCGGGTAACCGAGGGTACTAGAGGGTTATTGTGATGCAAACTGGATATCTGATGCTAATGAGATTTACGCCACAAGTGAATATGTGTTCTCACTTGGAGGTTGTGCTGTTTCATGGAAGTCTTGCAAGCAGACCGTCTTAACGAGGTCAACAATGGAAGCAGAACTCACAGCATTAGACACCGCCGGCGTTGAGGCCAAGTGTCTTCGTGAGCTCCTAATGGATTTACCGGTAGTTGAAAACCGATACCGGCCATTTCCATGAACTGTGATAACCAAATGGTGATAATCAAAGTGAACAGTTTAGGGACAACATAAAGTCTACAAGGCATGTGAAAAGGCGGTTAAAATCTGTCAGAAAACTAAGAAACTCCGGAGTAATTGCGTTGGATTATGTCCATACATCAAAGAATATGGCAGATCAGTTTACAAAGGGTTTGTCACGCAATGTAATAGAAGGTGCATCGAGGGAGTTGGGCTTAAGACCCACTTGAAGTCATTCCATAGTGGCAACTTGTCCTATGTGATCGAAGATCCCGTGAAGTAGGATGGTGAAACAAGCTAGTGGTTGACTGAGGGAGAGACCCCTTATGTTAAAGTCCGAATAGTTTGAGATGCACTGTTTCTCCAATACTGTGTGGCAGGATGATTAATTCCTTAATGTGATCCGAGTGGCTTATTTAAGCAAGGATGTTGTCCTACAGAACGTCTTAGAAGGAACAAACCTATATGAGTTCGATTGCTAGTCACAATCTATGAGATATGGGTAATCTCTAAATACTCATGAAAGGTCTTGAAGTGTGACTTATATGCTTCAAATAGAGAGGATGCTAGTTGCAACATAGTACCAGATAAGAACTTTAGTGAAACTCACCTCACACAAAACTATCAATTTAAGACATAGTCCATTGTTCAGTTGTGACTGAGTACAACTACTGCTCTAGATGGATGTTCAACTTAACAGTCTCTATTGAAACTCGGGTATATCAAAGAAATGTGGTTTTGAGACTATTTTACTACGAACCCTAGAGTTTGATGAGGATTGTTGGATATATTATGGGCTTGGCCTATATAATATTTAATAAATCAAATAAACTCTATGGTCCGTATTAATGTGAAATATATGGTTTAATATCATACGGTATTTTGACTAAACATTGATTCAGTTTATATGATTGGACATTGTCTATCTATACTAAGAAGCTGAGAAAAGGACGCTGGTATGCCACATGCGTGCCGCCGCCGCCGCCGGCCGGGCCGGGCGAGGGGTGGGCGTGGGCGTGGCGTGGCTCTTCGCTTCCCAGCCACGAGCTTATAATCACATCTCCTCCGTTAGTCATTCTCCTTCGCTTTCAAGACAACCACATATTCAGCTGCCCTCTAGTTCTCTACCATCCCAGTCCCTGCATGCACAGAGAACAGGGAGAGTAGGCCTCTGGAGCATCTACCGTCTTCGAGTTCACTTACTCGGGTGAAGGATGGCAACGTGATTTGGGGAGTTTCGCTGGCGACACGACTACTCGTTTGATCCTCTACTTCCTGGAGGATCGCTGATGATCTGCACTGCATCGAGCGGGACGACTAAATCGACAAGCACTATGTCTTCGAGTGCATCCGGCTCTATCGCTGGGTATGGTTCTGAAACGAATCTTTTATGGTCTTGGTTATCAATCCTTAATTTGAGTATCATCTATATACTCGTCACGCTTAAAACACACAAGCACATACATGATGTCACCGACATGTTCATATTGCTCACTGTCTTTTTCTGGATTAAATTGCTTCTAAAACTGTCTAATATTCTAATAGCTTTTGCGTTGCCCGCTGTCCCGGGCATCAGTGGCTGCCAGATGTAAGCGCAATGATAGTAAATAATCCCTCGCCGCATTGTCAACCATTCCATCATATTTCCATTGCATTGCATCCACGAGCCCATGATTCCCGGTCCCCTTCACGTTCACGTTTTGCCCACAAACACAAAGCAAGGCAGCAAGCAAGCTTGCCTAGCCCCCGGCCATGCTTCCATCTAGTCTAGAATAATCACGCGAGTCTTGGCTGTCAGTCACAAGTTCAGGCACCACGCACGCATGGTGAATTCAGTGATCCGGCACAATTCAGAGCTCGCCATAGCAGCAGGCAGCGTCGCTTGTATGGATACCAATGCTAGTGTAAAAGAAGCTGTTGGTAGGTCCGTCAGTGTAAGTGTAACAGGGACCCCAGCATAGGATTACCGGTCACTGCAGTAACTAATGCTTGGCTAAAAGAATCCCAAACGGAAACGGGTCAGGGAAAAGAAAGGCCTCCGCGAGAGGCTGCAACTACTGAAGGCGTAAGCTAAAAAAAACTACTAAAGGCGTAAGCACGCTTTGGGCGAGCTTTGTTTGCACTTGTCAAAGCAGCCCCTAGCTCCATCCACACCCACACCAGTCACCACTACGCCTCAAAGCAAGCAAATGCAAAGCAACCAAAAAAACCCACAAGGAAAGCACGCAGCACGCAGCACGCAGCACGCACACTAGGCACTCGCATTGCACGGCCACAGATCAATTCACAGTGATCCACGCAAAGCAAACGCGACGCAGCTCCGCAGCTGGGAGCTTGGCTCGTGGCCAAACAGAACACATGGAGCAGAGTAAAAGAGAGGCAGTGGCGAGCATGAACGAACAGCAAGATGAGACGGCGATATCCCCACAAGGATTGTGTTGTGCTTGTGCCCGTGACTGACTTTACAGGCCGTGTCTCTCGGCGAGACGGGGCCGGCTGGTACCGGTGCCGGCCGGGCGGCGTCAGTGGGAGAGCAGAGCAGACCGCTTCCAAAGCAAAGCGAAGGGCGCTTTCGCTGTTGCATGGGCGAGCACCGCATCATGGTGGCCTTGCACTTGGGCGCAAAAAGGAGAAGGCACCGCCGCTGGTTTGTTGTTTGGTGATCCGCTTCTCCTTCCAGACCGTCGTCGTCGGCTCTTCAACTCCCCTCGGGTCTTCTTTTCTTTCTTGCAGGACCGTGGCCAAACTTTTGAACAAGCTCTGCGTGCCTGATCTTCTGAGATGTTGAAATGAAGAGCAGGCCTGGTGCGTCTGCCTCGGTGTCTAGCACTTGTTCTTGCCCTCGTTGTTCTTCCTGATTCTGCAAACTTCGCAGGGCCACTATACGTTGTCATTGGTGATTGTAGGTTGCTGATTCATGATGTTAAGAGTAGGATCATCAACCGGATGCAATTCTCACACGACTGGCATCTGGCATCTGCTAATTTAGGAAGGAAAAGTGAGCTCTCAATTGACTGATTGAGAGAGCTCGGTGTGCCAGTAGCACGAGGCTCAAGAAGCGACAGCAGCCTGAGGTGAGGTCAGACAGAATGCGCGGCACAATGCCAGAACACGCTTCGAATGATGGAAGCGACGGACGGACGGACAGGCGTGGTGATTTGATTCACACGACGAAACCATCTCAAATCACACGCGAACAATCATGGAATCACACTACGAGTACGTACACGCTCACTAGGCACAAGGGATGCCGCCAAACAATCTACTATACTAAACTAAGCAGGAAAGAAACCGGCAATGCCGGAGGCTCCAGGAGATGAGACTCAGACGGCGGCCTCCATTCTCGGCTCGAACGAGAGCGCGGCCACGAAGCCCGTGGCGGCGTCCCCGCCGGCGCGCCGCGGGAGCTCCTCCCACCGGTTGGTCCTGACGTCGCACATGAAGCAGCCGCTGGCGCCGCCGGCAGAGCTGGAGCTGACGCAGACCATGACGCGGCCGCCGTGGCCGACGCAGTTCACGTCCGCCTTGGCGCCACGGAAGGCGTGCGCCATGGCGGGCGGCATCGCGGCCACCTGCCGCCACGCGCCGCCCGCGAACTCCCACACGCGGAGGCTGGCCGCGTCGAGGAACTCCGAGAGCACCACCGCGTAGGCTGCGCCGCCGCAGGCCACCACGTCGATGGAGTACTCGTGGTACGCGGGCAGGATACGGGGCAGCTCCGCGAAAGCGCGGCGCGCCAGGTCGCAGGCCACCACCGTGCCCGAGCGGCTCAGGAAGTAGGCCACAGCGTCGCCACCTCCGTCCCGGCACGCCACGGCCGACGAGTACTGCCGCGACGCGCTCCGCTGCATGGTGGTGGCCACGACGTCGCCGGACTTGCTGAGGAAGTAGACGGTGTCGCCGCCGACCTCCGCGACGCGCTCCTCCCGGGACGAGGCGTCCTCGGCCGGTTTCCGCGACAGCGCCGCCTCGTCGCCCCACGCGTTCGTAGACGAGTCGTACATCACCGTGGACAGGTCCGGGAGCTCGCCCAGGATGAGCACCACGCGGTACGGCGAGCCATACATGGCGACAGCCTGCAGCGCGCCCGCCGCGCGCGCCGGCGTCGGCGGGAGCGCGCGGGACGCGCCCGTGAGCGGGTTGACCACGGTGAGGTCTCCCGTGCCCGGGTCGCGGTACAGCACGAGCCCGCCCGCGGCGGCCACCGGCTGCAGCGGCCCCGGCGCGCCACGCCACCGCGCCCAGGCGCGCTCGGCGGAGTCGAAGACGGCGGCGGGGCGCGGCCGCCGCTTGTCCTGGTCCAGGTCCTGGTGGTCGGGGTCCTCGAGCATGAGGAACCATGGGTCCCGTGCCGTGACGCGCGCGCAGGAGGCGCGGAAGGTGCGGGACTCCGCCGCGGCGCGCCACCGGCGGGAGACGCCACGGAGGCGGAAGTAGCTGGCCGGCGGGAGGCGCGCGAGCACGCGCTCCAGCATGTCGTCGTGGAGGTCGGCGAGGCCGGGCGCCGCGCGCTTGCGCTTCTTGCCTCCGGCAGCTCCGTCCAGCGTGGCCGCCATGCCGGCGCAGGGGGCAGGCGGGTGGGCGGGCCAATAACGTAGGAGGCGGCACAAGAAGAGCTTGGCAGCAGAGCCGGAGCGGAGGCCGGAGGGAATCTAAGCAAGAGCCACTAGTGGAGGTGGAGTAGTAGTGGGGGTTGCGACTTGCGAGGGGCGCTGGCTTTATACGAGCGGGAGCGGAGGAGCGGTGGTGGGAAAACGAACCTTCGTTGCGTGGCAGCCTGGCAGGGCAGCGGTGGACCGGTGGTGGAGGAGGAGGAAGGAGAGGGAGGGAGCTCTTTTTGTTCGCGTCGCGTTGACATGCGGAGCACGGGAGGAGGGAAAGAGAAAGGCGCCGTGGCTTTGGGCCGGCGTGAGGTGGTGGTGGTGGTGATGGGGCGAGGCGGCCGTGGACTCGTCGCGTCACGAACGAGCGTGTAGCGTAGGCACCACCTTTGCCGGTCGTTTGTTCCCTGTCTCTGTCCGCCGTTGAGGCCAGCCCTGAGCGTGGACCACCGTCGGAGGCCGAACGCTCCGACGCCCACACCCTGCACGGAGACAATTGTCACAACAGCTCCACCAACAACTCCAACGAACCGAGGCCGTGGGGCGTGAAACCCTGACAGGCAGCGAGGCGAGCCTGACCCATGCCACCGTCCGTCCACAATCAGATCGAGGAACACCAAGGCGCTTTGAACACTATCGAGGCGAGGAGGCGCGCCCGAGTAAAAACGCCCCTGTCGTGGGTTCGTAACCACAATAGTAATCAAATTGATCGATGTGGGTGCCTCTAGCGGCTTAAGTTCTTGTGTTTGTTCAGACTCAAGATGTTTGGCCCAAACGAAGTCATAACCGTTGGTACCGGCTTCCGGCAGACCAACCTCTACCCAGTTGCTCATCATCTGTTCCAAGCTGGACGTGCGTGTCTCCCAGGAACACCAGGTCATCAATGGCGTTGACATACGCCGCCCCCAAGCGGTCCCACTCCTTATCCTCCTTCGCATCGTCCAGTTGGATGGTTACTTTAAGTAAGGAGGGAAAGGGGGTTAGAACTGTTTGCACAGGGGTAATGAAGACGATTGCTTTGAGGAGGGAAGGGGGTTGTACTATTTTCATGGGGTAGGGGGGCTCAAGCCCCAATGTAACACCCTTGGTGTTAAGCCTTAATTAAACATGAGGATCATAATTATCCTTCATTGCATCATCCTTGCATGCATATAGAGACCGAGTCGACAGAGCAGGTGATCACCGACGAGCCCGAGTACGAGGAGATTGTTGAGAAGTACGAAGAGGAGGTCCTCGTGCAGGAGAAGACCCAGGAGCCGCCGATTGATTTTGCTGACACCGTGCTTGCCCAAGGCAAGCCCCGATGCATGACCCCTAATTTATATATTCACCGTATATATATTTATGCATTATGCTGTAGGAATTTTATGAAACCCACATACATAAAATACTATCCTATGAGTCCTACTAGTTATAGTTTCGTGTAGCTGCTATGCTTATGACCCATTGATGGCGTGAACGACCTACCGTTGGTCACAATAGGATATTTATTAAGGGGTGTTTAGTTGGTGAGGTGAAAATTTTTGGGTGTTACATCGGATGTGTCGGAAGGATGTCGGGAGGGGCTTTTGGATACTAATAAAAAAACAAATTACAGAACCCATCAGAAAACTGCGAGACGAATCTAATGATACTAATTAATCGGTCATTAGCATATATGGGTTACTGTAGCACTTAAGGCTTTTCATGGACTAATTAGGCTTAAAAGATTCGTCTCGCGATTTCCAACCAAACTGTGCAATTAGTTTTTTTTCGTCTACATTTAATGCTCCATGCATGTGCCGCAAGATTCGATGTGACATTTTGGGTTGAAGATTTTTGGAAACTAAACGTGACCTAAATGATGGTAAGAACTTGGTGACCGGGCGGAAAACAGGAAAGGTGGTTGGGGTTACTAGTTGGTGCATTAAGTCGGGGTCCTGTGACTAGAGGGCTTCGTCTTGGGTGAACGGTTTCATGCCTTAGTCAATTAAGAACCGTTCGTTGTCTAAACCATATGTCAAGTTTCGACTGTCCTGGAACATACTTGCTTCATGGGGGTGGGAAGTTGCATACCTTACTTGTCATGGGTTCGGCTTTCTTCCGAGCGACTGGTATGGAGGCGGGGAGAGATGGAGTTCCAAGGGCACCAGCCTGCCTCATTGGCCGCAGTGTTGGGACTTGGAGTCCGAGTTGGGCAGGGACTCTAGAGCTTGTGACAGGTTTGGGAACGACTACTCTTGTTTGTGCTTGTGGTACAGACGAGGTGTGTGTTTGGGGTCCCAGCTAGGAGTCATTGGGTTTGAGATGGTATCTGCTTGACTAATATCGAGCATCGTAGAAATTAATGGAATGTGGACGAGAATAAGGGGGTGTTTGAAAGGGTTCATCGTGAGGGGCTCCTCCGAAGAAGCCAGAGCCGTTTTGGAGGAGCCACAGTTTGTGGCTCCTTCAAAACGGCTGCTCCGGCAACATGTTTGGCAGGGCTCCTCTGCAGAAGCCGGAGCCGAAGCCAGAAAGGAGCTCTACCAAACAGGCCCCAAATTAATCCTGGTATTAGAAGGGCAAAAGTGTTCTTTCATGTGCCAAATACATGGAGAGGTTTTAGAAAAGAGGAAATACATAAAATGACATTGAAATCGTGTGTCACATGTTTTGAGTCCTATTTTTATGAAGTTAGGCTCTGTTTCGTTTCCCATGATTAAAATTTAGCTACTAAAACCAATGACGAAACTTTAGTCACCCCTATTTGGTTCTAGTGACTAAAGAGTAAAGACCATTAAAGCAGTTCAACAAAGACCAAACTACCCCTAATGAATGCACAAATTAGGGTTTCCACTTTTAGTTACTCTTAAGTGACTAATATGACTAAACTACTTTAGTTTATTTTTAGTCAGTTTGTTTAGCATTTTAGTAGCTAAAGTGACTAGTAGCTAAACTTTAGCAGGAGAAACCAAACGTACCCTTAATGTTACAGATGGTAAAAGTGTGAAGCGCGATGTTTGAAGTCCCAAGTATCACGTGCCTTAGTACGTGCAGGCTGGCAGGTGCAGCCTGCAAGTCTTGAAGACGGGTGTCGGTGCAACGGGATGCTGCTGCTCTGCCGTCGTTTTGACCTCGACGGCTTGACGCAATGCACCGGCCGTCGTCCATGCTCCTGCTTCATCCAGTGCTCCTGGCACAGGGGCGCGTACACCACGGACGGACGGACGGCGGCAGGCAGGCCAAGGTCCCGTCCTCCTCCTTGGCACGACAGAAGCGCAGTGCAGGCAGGTGCAGGCCGCGCAGCCAAAGGCACGCGAACAAACAAGGCGAAGGAAAACAAAGAGAGGGAGGGAGAAGGAACCCAGCGGCCGGCGCGAGCGACTGCGACGCGACGGTCTTCTGGTCTCTGAAGCCGAAATACGGCGCCCGCGCACACATGCGCCCCCGGCCCGCCCGAGTGTGTGCCTTTGTGCCCGCACGGCGCCTACTACGACGAGTACGTACGGAGTAGTATGTCAAAGGTGCGACGGGGCTCGGTGCCTTGGCCTGGGGAGCCCGTCCGTCGGTTCGCCCGAATTTTTTATAATTTGGTCCTTTATTTGAAAGTTTCTCACAAATAGATCTTTGGCGGAAAGAATTCAGGAAATGGACCCTTAGCTCGGCGCTATTGAGGCTGGCGCCGAGCTAGGCGTCAGCGTCTCTGGCGCCGAGCTCCTGAGCACGGTCGATGACCTGCCAGGGGGCTCGGCGCCAGAGTGACTAGCGTCGTAGATCTTGGCGCCGAGTCCGGAAATATCTAACGGCCAGCGCCTTTCTTCTCTTCCACTCCCTCTCTCGCCCTAGCCGAGCCCTGCCGCCGACGCCTCCGCCCTTGCCCACGCCACCGCCGCGCCCCTGCCGCGCCCCTGCCGCGCACGCGCTGTGCCCGAGGCCGCGCTCGGCCCGCCCGCGCACGCGCCCGAGGCCACGCCCGCCCCGCGCCGCGCCGAGCCCACGCCGCCGCCCCGTGTCGAGCCTGCGCCACCGCCCCGTGCCGAGCCCGCGCCGCCGCGCCTGCTCGTGCGCTTGCGCCCGCCACCGTGCCCGCGCGCGCGCCCCAAGGCCGCCCCCCTCGCCGCGCCGCGCCTCGGCTTGCTATAGCGCTGCGCCGCCCCCCGCGCCGTGCTGTTGCCCGTGGTTGGCCGCCACGCCGCGCCGCGCCGCCTTCGCCGCCCCCACCGCGGTCCTCGCCTTGCCCTCCACCGTCGGCCCGCCTTGCCGCCCTCCACCGCCGCCCTCGCCCCGCCTTGCCGCCGTCCACCGCAGGCGTGCCTCCCACGCCCGTCGAGCCGGACTCGCTGCGCGTAGCCCCGAGCATCCCACGCCCGCCGCGCGCCACCGCTGTCGTCGGCTGCGCCACCGCCGGCCTGAATCTTCGGCCTAACCCACGCCCATCGTCTGCCGGTCCGGAAAGGTAAAAATTATGAATATGCAATGTACCTACTTAGTTGACATTTGCTATTTATTAGTTAATGTGATGACTCAGGCAGTTGATTTAGTTAGTGATCTAGTGAGATATATATGTAGATAGATAGAAACATAGACACATAGGCACATAGATATAGTTAGATAGGTACTTAGATATGTAGTTACATTTTTAGTTATCTACATATGATCTAGCTATTTAGTGAGTACATTGTAAATATATACATAGTTATTATCTTGATTACTTAGTTTGTAGTTAGAAAATACTTGTTAGGTACTATCTATCGTCTAATTTGGACTAAAGGACATGTGTTTCGTTACGTGTTTGAATTAGATGGACAACCTAGTGACCATATATCATGGAGGCACCATTGAAAGCGATCGCTATGGATATGTTGAGTTTCTTAACATGCAAAGCGTGCCTGTGCTATTCAATGATAGGCCTTCATTTAGTGACATGGTTGGAAGGGCTCGGGAGGAGCTGCATTGCCTTGGAGATGATGGCATTGCAGTTGATGGTCTACTGC